GTTTTCAGCTTGTTTATTTTCATATAAAAATACGGCATGCAGTTGCATCAAACAATGGTATAAACATCATTCAATGTAAATTGTCATAATCGTAATTAATAATCGCAATTACAATTTCAAGGGAATAATCGACAATTACGATTTGTTTCATAATCGTGCAGCCCTAGTATCTCTGATACTTTTCTTTATTATAATAAAGCAATAAGCCCCAAGGAGCCTCCGCTTCGCGTCGTTCCTAACAACGCCGCTTAGCTGTTATAAATTCACTGTAAACCTGCTCTTCCCGTGGGTTGGTTGAGCTGACCTGCAGCATCAGACTTTCACAGGGGGCGCCAGTGAGCGTCGCCAAACCCTCGATGGCACGACCGGCCTGCAGCGCAAAATATGAGCCATGCAGCTTCGCCAGAGCCTTTTCTATCAGCGCGACCCATAGCTGCCTCCGCTGAGCCTGTCCCAGAGAAAAACACAGGACAAAAAAGAGAGAGATTAAAATATTAATACAAGCCATTAGCAGGAAGTAAAGCAACCAACAGGGATGTAATGTTTGCAGTAAAAAAAAATTGTTTTCAAAAATACAATTTAGAATTGCCTATACATACTACTTTGTAATAAAAAGCCTTTGTAAACAAAAATAATTAAAAAAATATATATAATTATGTTTTATATATTTAATCATAATAGCATTTTAATGCTAATAGTAGTACATAAAATGTATACAGTTATATTCAATAATAATAATAATATTTAAAATAAAAGTTAAATTCATTTAAAATATTAAAATCTTTACAATGTTTAAAACACTTTTCACTAACTTTTTAAATACTTTCCAGTAACAGTCTAAAATATTTGCATACATAATAATCACTAATAACGGCATACATAATTATTTTAAATTATTTTACAATACAACATTTTAATCTTGTTTACTTATTTTTCTCATGCTGATTCATTTTAGATTTTTTTTATAATAAATTCTTAAAACACTTTTTTTTAAACAACCTATTAAATACTTTCCAGCAAAGGTCTAAAATATTTGCATATATAATAATCATCAATAATAGCATACATAATTATTATTCATAATATTACATAATTATTTAATAATTAATAATTATTTAATTATAATTGACTTATAATTTATTGCTACATGACATTGTTGAGTAAGTAAAAACGTGCAATTCTTTATTTAATTTAATTAAAGTTTAAAAAAAAAAAAATTTATGTGTCTTTATTTTTCAGATAAATGTAGATCTGGTTCCAATATGTATGTATCAAAACTATTTGCTGTTACAATTAATTTTTCGCCACCTCTGGTTGTTTAGTACTGTAGGTAAAAAATGTGCAATTATTTACTTTGGATGACAATATTTGAAAGTTGAAACTGCTCATTGATGGCAGTTATCTCAAATAATCATGATTAGTCTATTAATTGCAAGCACTTATAAAACCAGTCCTAACAAACAAACTCAAGCGCAGCAACACAAACCTGTGAGAAGAGCAGGAATCCGTATTCGTCGCAGGGCAGCATGTCATCCACCAGAACTGTGGTCCACGTCCCGTCTTTACAGAGCCGCACCTGATACGCTCCCTCCTGGCATATGGTTCTGGTGATCATCACACGCTCCACCAACTCGGGCCGCTCCGCTAGCACCGCCAGAGCGCTTAAAAACCTGAGAAGCACACCAGCGCGAGTGTGGTTTGAGAAGAGCGACACTGTGAACATTTCACTCCTACATCACTAGCCTGGGGCTGAAATGATTGTGTGCACAACTAAAAAGCTAAACTGGACGCCACTTGAGGTCATGTGGCAAAAAATAGTGTTTGAATGCATAAAAAGTTACTTTTAAAAGTAATTCGTTACGATACTGCGGTACTCCATAAAAAAGTAACTAATTGTGATACTTAGTTACATTTGTTGGGAAGTAATGCATTACGTTACTTCTGTGTTACTTTTTGTCACCTGAGCTGAGCTTGCTTATTTATTTTTTATAATAAAAAAACCCAAAAGTTGTATTTTTGGCAACTGTAAAGGCCTTACTAGTTACTTGAAAAAAAGTAATCTGATTACATAACTTGTGTTACTTGCAATGCACTTCCTCCAACACTGTGCATAATACATACTGTTTCACATACATTTTTATTAGATGTGACCTTGGCTGTGAAAGTCATTGTTTCGTGATTTATTTGGTTTTCTACATAAAATCATCTTTCATAAGGTAAAGAACATTCTGTGAAAATGTAACCTTAATATCTTTAATATTGACTGAGTAAGACCATGTCAAAGATTGAAATCATAGTGAAATTAATGGTTGAAATCAAACTTTGATTCTTGTTATCTCATAATTAGGGTTTCACAGAGAGGGCCACAAATAGTATACAGTATACACTATATACTGAGCTGTATGCAGTAAATTAGTACTTCATTTCAAACACAGCCATAGATAGATGCGCTTCTCTTACCAGCAGTTTCCCAGAAGGCCTTGCAGTATATCTGAGGGGCGCGGCGTCCTGAACACAGACCACTTCACGCCACGATCCTTAAAGTTATTGCAGTTAATCTCGTGAGGGCGGAGCCACTTTTTGATTCGCTGCTGGACGCTGTCGTTCTCGGGGAACCCGACCGAACGCGGACCGGGGGGGAAACTGTCATCCACGAAGTTCACTGCGTTCTACAACAAACAAGAATTTAGTAAGATAGTCGCACCCAAATAAACCGGCATTTGCCATTATTAAATAATATGTATTTAACATATAAAGTTTTCAAATCTGAAATATATTTTGAATAAATATGCTGTAAAATAAGTCTTAATTTAAAAAAGTATGTAGATGTCACTTGCTATCATTAAAATTTATATAAAATTAATTACAATTTTAATATAACATTTTAATAAATACAGTGTAAAATAAGTATTTGTCTTTCACATTTATATAGATTTAATTTGTCACCATTAAATAATATGCATATAATATAAAATTAACTGCAGTCTTATACAATAATGAATATAATAAAAATTTTTAATGTCTTTCTATGTAGATATCATTTCTCATCATTAAATAATATTTATATAATATAAAATGAATTAATTTTACTACTACTACTATTAATATTAATACAAATAATAATATTAATAACACAATTTTTAATAAATAAGGTCGAAATAATTATTTAATTGCTTTTTTCCCTAAATGTATGAAGATCTCATTTGCCATCATTAATTAATATGCATAGAATATACACATACATGAAAGAAGTAGGCTATTTGTTCATTTTCACCTTATTCACCCTAAAAATACACAACCTTTCACCCTAAAACATCAACTTCGGTTCACTTTGTTAGTGTGTACATCTTTACAGAGTCGACAGGTTGTGCATCATATGAAGACACAGTGAAGAGTGAAGAGACATGTACAATTGCAGTAAACCAGTCCAGAAGCTTCTGGAGCAAAACTGCAGCAGATATTCTGCAGGAACAATAAAGCTTCAAACGTACAGTAGGATATTCTCACAGGCAGCAGCAGCTCTCACCTGATTTTTTTTTTTCTCTTGCAGAAAACACGTGTATGCCGGAGAAATAGGGGTCATTTTGACTCTGGGGAGCCGTTTAATTGCTGCCACAACCGTTTCTAAAAATACGTCTCCCAGGTTGCGAGCGCAGACAGATGCAGATCGGAGGGGTTGCTGGGAAAACGCGTGCAGCCGTGGAAACGCGGCGCAACTGTGTGTCCATTTGTGTTCGAGATGTCTGAAATCCCATTTGCAAAAATGATTTTAATATATAACGTGCAGAAAAATACATCTTTGAACAGCTTAGACGCAGGTTCTAAACTTAATTTGTGATGCATCATCTTTCATTATGCAACATTTCAGAAGTGAGCACATCTGGGTCAAATCACAGCTGCGCTTAGACCTGAAATTAACATTCAGTCTGGCTGATCTGATCACAAGTAAACAGGCCAGAACGTTCTCAGATCAGATCGCTCAGAGCATCTTCAGGGACTCTTACGGACACGTCACATTTACAGTGTAAACACTTACACATCCTGCTGTGCCCCAAAAACACAGAAGGACCATCTAGTCACGTAACACGCAACAAAAAAGCAAAAAGATGTACTTCATCTCAGAGAAAACCTGAGCATTCATTTCATGTTGCATCGACCCTCCTGCGGAAATAAGGCATGTAGTCCGGAAACCAGAGAACATGGAAAATCTCAGATCACAACAGGTCACTGGAGAAGCATTTGAGACTACGAGTGTCTTGGAGCTGCATCCAAATATATATTTAACCTCTGAGATGATACTAACAAGTCATTAGTGACAGGTAATGTTGAGATCACAAGCTCTCTTTGAGATCATATTGTGGATTTCTACCTTTGGTTTGCACAATCACAGAGGCATTTGACTGCACAAGTGTAAAATAAGTCCTTCATTTATTTTTTTTTAAATTTACATAGATCTCATTTGTCACATAATATGCATATAATATCAAATGAAACTTTTACTACAATATTTTTAATAAATATGTTGTAAAATAATTCAAGGTTTTCATCTCATTTGCCATTACTAAATAATATGTATATTATATAAAACTAACTACTTTTAATATCATAAATATCATAATATACTTTTAATATCATTTTTAATGACTGTGATGTGAACTAAGTAGGTAATTTGTTTTAATCATTAAATAATGTGTAGAATATACATAAATAAAAATAGCTAAAATGTGAATATTTAAAACAGTATTTTCAGTAAATACGGTGTGAAATAATTTGTTAATTCTTTTTAATTAATGTAGATGTCTTTTGCCATTTTTAAATGGCATTTTTGTGTATATAATATACAATTGATTACCGTTATATATTTTTTAAAATATATAGTGTGAAAGGAGTATTTAATTTGTTTTTCAAATGTATGTAGATCTTTACATCAAGTAATATGTATATTATAAAAATAGCTAACATTTTAATATTGTGTAATACGGTGTGAAACAATTCTGTTTTTTTAAATATATTGTTAAATATTCTTCATGAATATAATGCAAAATAAGTCTTTTATTTGTTTTTCATATTTATGTATATCCTATTTTTCATCATTACATAATATGTATACTGTATAATGGAAAATTAACTACAATATTATTTTTTATAAATATCATGTAATATTTGAATTCATGTAGATCTCATATACTATTATTAAAGCACGTTTACAATTAATTCATTTTTTTAATTTATGTATTTTTCTCCACTATTAAATATTATATAATATAAATATCTATAATATACAATTAATTTTAATTAATTAATTTGAGATCTCATTAGCCATTATTATGTACACAATATAAAATGAGCTAAAATTCGAATACTTTTGAAAAAATAATATGGTGTAAAATATTTCTTTAATTGTTTTTGTTTAAAAATGTATCTCATACCATCATTAAATAATATGTAATATGCACACATTCACATGGGAAGTAATTGTGCACTTTATTCAAAACATCTAGACTTGGTTTATCATGGTTTAAAGGGGTCATATGATGCGATTTCATTTTTTCCTTTCTCTTTGGAGTGTTACAAGCTCTTGGTGCATAAAGAAGATCTGTAAAGTTGCAAAGACTAAAGTCTCAAATCCAAAGAGATATTCTTTATAAAAG